CCCCAAAACCCCAAAACCCCAAAACCCCATATTCAAATTTCTAATATATTTAAAGAAAATAATTCTGAAGGTATTTAAATTAAATTCAAATAATGGCATAAACAGTGAATGAAGTTTTGAGAAACTTACATCCGCAAAGGAATACTTTTACATTTGATGATGGAGTGATAATCACAAGTGATTTTGACTCTGGAAACTTATGGAAATGCCTTAAGAAAAGAGTTGAGCCTGTAGAGGTAACAGAGCAACAATTCATAGATGATTCAAAATCAGAGGAATTAAAGCAATCAGAGGAAATCAAGTCTGAACCTCCAAAACAAGAGGGATTTGATGAGTATGAAATCTGGATAGCCCCAGATTCAATCCCTTACTAAGAAGAGATAAGCTACAGAACATGGTTCTTTTTCAGCATCACAGGCTTTCCTAAAGACATGAAGACAATTAGATTTAGAGTAATGAACATGAGTAATCAAGGGAAATTAATCTCTTATGGACTTAAGTCTGTATTCATAGAATTCAGTCATTAGGATCATCTCAAGTTCATTAGGGAAAATCAACCTATGTTCAGATAACCTTGGAAAAGAATCAAAGCTAAGGTAGATCATGAGAAAGGGGCAGAGGGCATGAAAATGTACTTTCATCATCAATTGAAGCCTACACAGGATACCAAAGATGTTCTTTACTTTGCCTTTACTTACCCTTATACATTTGAAGATGTTAACAGATCAATCGAAGAAGTTAAGGCTGAGTGCTCTAAGAACGACCACTACTTTCATAAATAGACAATAATTAAAAGTCTTGAAGGCAGAGATATTGATTTAATCACAATTACAGCAAATAACAAATCTCTTGAAGAACTTGAGCCTGTTATTGAAAATGAGCATATAATTAAATAGAATCCAGAGCTCCAGGCTAAGAGATTTGATAAGCCTTGCATAATGGTTACTTCCAGAGTGCATTGTGGTGAAACTCCAGGATCCTATATGCTTTAAGGTATGCTAGACTTATTGATGGATTTCACAAAACCTTATGCAAAAATACTATTGGAAACATTTGTCTTCAAAATAATTCCTTGTTTGAATCCAGATGGCGTTGCAAGAGGCTATTGGAGAAATGACACATCTGGAGTTAATCTCAATAGGCATTATACAGATCCATCTCCTTTGGAATAGCCAACTATTTATGGTACAGTTTAGGCCATCATTCATGCACATTCACACTTAAACTTAAAATACTACACAGATCTTCATGGGCACGCAACTAAGAGAGGTTGCTTTGTTTTTGGAAACTCCATAGCAGACTAAAAGTTGAACATTGAATAGATTTTGCTAGCTAAGTTAATGTCAATGAACTCAATCAACTTTGATCTCTCTGAGTCTAACTTTTCCGATGAGTCAAATAACAAAAAGGATGGCAAAGGAATGGGCAGAGATTCAAGTGGAAGAGCAGCTACTTATAGACTAACTTAGATAGTTCATAGCTTTACAATGGAGTGCAACTATGCCACTGGAATGAGAAATAATACTCTAAAGCCAAGATTAGATCTCTAAAACAGACAAATACTTAAAAAAGAGGAGTCATATGTGACTGATATAGGATCTTAGTTTTATAAAGTGAATGGATGGAAGAGTCCAGTATTTGACTCTGAAGTCTTTAAAGATGTTGGTAGAGCATATTTGATTTCAATTTTAGATATTGAATAGTTGAATCCATTGCCAAGAATACTTAAGAATTTTGATGAGACATTTGAAACTGCTCTTGACAGGTTGAGGAAAGATATTGATAGAGATTTGAAAAAGCCTTAGAATATATTTAAAAGCAAGAAAGGTGCTGGTGGAGGTTTCAAGCCTGAATTTGAGATAATAATTGGAAATAAGAAAGATGTAGATGAGAACTTAGAAAAATTATAAGTTGAGGAGGAGTCTAAATATGTATAAGGAGATAATAAAGCAATCATTGGCAGTAGTGTATAAGTTCTTGATTAGCAATAACCATTGAAAGTGTAATTACAAAAGAGTCAAGATGACTTTGAAATTTCAGAGTAAAGTATACAAAATTAACTTGATAATCTTGACATTGACAAATCAGAGAATGGG